CTATATAAGTTATTAGTTTAGTTTTTTTATATAAAAAGTTATAAACATTTAAAATCTATGTTTTCTTTAAAATTGAAATAATCATGTAAATATTAAATTGATCAGAATTAACGTTATAGCACAATTTGGACTGATTCCTAACGTATTTATCTAATAATTTAATTTCTAAAGTAAATTATATTTATTAATTTAAAAATTGAAAATATTTTCTAATATATTTAATTATTTAAAATATTTTATATAATTTTCTTTAGTAATATCTGACTTAGATTCAGATATGAAAATTAGATTATTAGAAATTAAATCATTTTTTATTCTATTCAAGTTCTTGTTGAGTGAATTCGGGATATGTATTTAACACAGTTTCCCAAGTGATATTTTCTTCAATAAGATCTTTGAGAACTACAAGGAGAGTGTCAATCTAATAAACATAAATTAATTAATATTACATTATATCATGATGCTTTCAAGTAAGCAAGTATTGCTTTTACCTTTTCTCTGATTTGTTTTGTGGTATCACGTTCACGTAAAGTAACTGTGCCTTCTTTTACCGATTGGAAATCGATAGTGATGGCAAAAGGTGTACCTAGCTCGTCATTACGTGAATATCGCCGTCCAATTGAATTCGATGAATCATCAATCTTTATAGGAATACTCAATTTACGAAGCCGCGTGGCTATTTCATTCAAAGACTCACGAGATTATTCGATATTTTAACTGACACCGGAAATTTTTTTGTTCTCATATACTCACTCATATCTTGAATAAGCTCAGTCAACGTAGGGTGGTTACTTAGAGGTACCAATAGACATTTAAAGGGAGATACGCTTGGAGGAAAAGATAAAACCTTTATATATAAATATCAACAAATATTATAAACGGCAAGAGTTGTTTTTTAAACGAAAAATTTCAGAACATAAAATCATTACCGCTCTCTGTTCGCTGCCCTCACGTATCCAATACACGTGTTCAATCAACGAATATAATATACGACCAATACCGAAAGAAGGTTCTATTACATTAGGAGTGTACTCTCGTACTAAAAAGTAATGCTGTTATATAGGATAACATTTTCGCTGAAATTTGTAATTATAATCAATTAATGCAAAAATTAATATTTGGAATATCGCATTTTTACCATGCTCTGAGAATGTTTGGCGTTTTATGGTCAAAAATTCGGTCGAGACTTCGTATCCTTTACCATCAGTGCCAGGAACAGTTGTTTTTCTAAATATATTTGTGTTGTTAGCATCTAATAATTCATCTAGCTTTAAATAGAAAATGAAAAAAAAAGATGATTTACTTTACCCATTTCCTTTTTCTAAATCCTCTTTGAGACTTTCCAGTTGCTGTTCATCAAGACTAGATAAATATTCTTCTACAATTTTTGCGTTCTTTCTCAGTTTTGGTCCAAATATTTTATGATTAATATCCAAAACTGTTTTTTCATATACATATGGAGTTGGTAGTGTTTCACGAACTACTAGTTTTTCTTTTGTTCGATTGGAATGCACGGTGAGATCGTAGGCTGATCGATCGGCACAGCCGACACATTCGATCCATCCCTATTAACGTGAAACAATTTATGAGGGAAAAGTTTCAAACTTGATTACAGAAACGAGATAGCTTATGATAAATGTATAATGGTGATGACAAACATAGCTACTTTGAATCTCCGCATCCCAACAATCACATGCATAATGTGCCATCTCATTTGGCATGTGTTGTCGAAAACGAAGTCTCGAAGGATTAATGCCAAGTTTGATTAAGAAAAGTTGTATACGAGCAAGGAAATAACCAAGGGTCTTGTTATCCACAATTTTCTATAGTTAAATTATAAGATCAATTTCCACGTCAATTAATAAAACTAGAAAGTATTTCGTTTTTTTACTTGATCAACTGCATCACCAATCGACAATTCAATAGGCTGCGTCTTTCCTTCTGCTTGAATTGCCTGGGATAATAGTCGAAGCCTGATGTCTTTGACCTCGTTAAATCGAGGATGATCTTTTTTTAGTGGGTCAACGTAATGTTCAATTTTAAAGAAAACATAGATTTTAAATGTTTATAACTTTTTATATAAAAAAACTAAACTAATAACTTATATAG